GCCCTGTGCAGCTTGTGTGGAAGTGGGGTGGAAAATGTCTTGCACGTCTTACGGGACTGCTCCTATGCATCTTATCTTTGGACCCAACTTTAGAAGCAAAGCGAAGTGAAGTCATAGAAGCTTCGCTTCGTTTTTAGAGTCTCACTTTGCTCCCCTCCTCATCCAAGTCACCATGCAGAAAAGCATTGTGAACGTCCATCTGGATGAACTTCCCAATGCTTGGCAGCAGCTACAGCCAAGAACAGTCGGACTGTAACCGGCGACCGGAGCAAAAGTCTCATGATAATCAAGACCTGTAACCTGATTCCAAAATTACCAGACGCGCTTTATATCGTTCAACTCAATTACATGGACCCTTGTGTTTGATCTTAAAGACCCATTTGCACCCGATAGCACGTTTCCCAGAGGGGAGAGAGACCACATCCCACGTGCCATTATTTTCCAAGGCACGAATCTCATCCTGCATAGCAGCTCGCCATCGAGGGTCGGTCACGGCATCCGCATAACTACGAGGCTCAACAGCGGAGGCGACAGCGGCTAAGAATGCTCGATAAGCGGGAGAGAAAGACTCACAAGAAAGGTAATGTGCTATGGGATAAGGCGTACCTGAGGATGGAGACGGTTCGGGAGAAGCAGTGGGGGGAGCAGTCGAAGAACAGACAGTATCAACCACAAAGTCCTTCAGTCGAGTAGAAGGAATCTTAGTCCGATGACCACGACCTAAAGAGATAATATAGGAGGAGAAGACACAACCAAAGGAGAAGGTGCCACTGGAGGAGTAAGAGAACCCCCCCTCGGACGCACTCATATCAGGAGGGACAGCCCCAGTGTCAGAAGACACGGGCGGCACAGAGCGGAGGCTCCTCATCATCTGGCTCAGAAGAAATCGGCAAGACAGAAGGTAGGGGTAGAGAGTCGGACTCAGATGAGGATCGACGAAGTTGAGGTTCGATGTAATTGAGACGAAACTCCACATCACGGGAAACAAAGAAAATCTGACGATCCAAATCATACAGACTCCACCCCTTCTTGCCAAACGGGTATCCCACAAACACACAACGACGACTCCGTGTAGTAAACTTGTCACCATTGCGGTCTTGGTTATGAGCATAGCAAAGGCAACCAAAAACACGCAAATGAGACAAGAGAGGAGCAGAGCCGTAAAGAATCTCATACGGAGTTTGACCCCCTATGACTTCACTTCGCTTCGCTTCGTTTGTATGGTCATGAGGAAGTAGAAACTACGCTTTCTTAGCTCTGACTTGTTGATCGATTATTTGCGTAGGTAGTGTTCGAGACCACCTATCGGTAAACAGGGTAACGTCCCTAATGTCCCAATCCTCTGTCGTGGTGACCTAGGATATCTGAGAATACAGCCCTTTGACTTGGAGTGCCGAGTCCAACCGGAGATACAGTATCCTTAGAGTCGCCCCGAATAGAATGAAGTGGGGCATGCGACTATACCACGGCTCCATACCGTGACCAATTCCCTTAGTATGAAATCGGACAAGAACAACGGAAAGAGCGGAGAAGAATAGAACAAGGAAAGGAAGAGAAGAGTATTAGCCAGGCTAAATGGCATTCATCAAAGTTTGGCTAGGAATGAGCTCATCTGTAACCATTTCTCTATGACTTCACTTCGCTTCTAAAGATGCAATTGACCTATGGTCGAGCTACTTCGTGCCTTTCAGTCGAGGAAGCAGGCTAACTCAATAACATGGGACTTTGAATCAAAGAAAGCCGGTTGAAAGGCTAGTTTTCAAAATCTGTCTTTCCAGTCATAATTTTTGAAAGGCGTTTAGTTGGTCTGCTGTGGAGCTTGGTTTGGCAACAAACTTCTTCTCTTCCGCCTGGCATGCGAGAGCAGTGTATGGAAATGGAATGGAACGGCTATCTCTCTTGGCCTTCCGACCTACTTACTATTCCTTACAGCCCATCTTGTCCAAGGATTCCTTTGATGCTGGTATCGTATAACAGAAAGAGGCTTTTTTTAGGAGGAGCAGAGCAAGTCGCGTTTACAGCCAGCAGTTCTTATGGGCGTAACTCCCTCTAGTATTCCCATAATCTCCTTTCCTTCAATATGTCACTAGTATTCAAGTATGCGGCTCGTATTAGTATGCCAGGCGTTCGAGAGACAAGAATGATTTTCATAGCCTTCCCTTCAATATGCCATCTTGTCTTGCGGCGCTCTATCCTTCCAAGCGAGCCTGTGCTCGGGGAGCACTCCTTCTATCATTCATAAAATATCTTTCTCTCTCCTTGGTCGTAAAGCTTCGCTTTGCTTTCATTTACCGAAAATTCCATTGGAGAGCCGGGAGGCGCAGTCTCGTACAAGCAACTTCCATCGATCTGCTTTCGAAAAGTAGCCAAGCGGTGTCAGGTTGGAAGCCTGCGGGCCAGTCTGTTCTTTCGCCTCATTCTTGACATCCTCTTGCTTCACCACTACTCTATATACTGGTTTCACTACCTTTCATGCATGGGTTGATTGATCTATCTGTCTTGATATTTTGGATCATCCGAAGATTGGGGATAATCAGGATCCCTTGGTTTGGTAAGGCAGACCTTCGCAGTTGTCCGAGTTGCTTTCTCAAGAGGCTCAAGGTCTTGCTCTACCTAATCCGATCTAGTTCCGGTCTGTAATGATGGATAGGAAGGGTTGAGAGAACTACGTATCTCGCCTAGCATTTGTGTGTGCGCACCTGCTTTTGGGCGGTTAGCGAAACGAAAGTAAAGACTGCTGTTATCTCATACAAAACAAGGACTCGGGAGAAGAACTAGTTATCCCCAGAGGGGGAACTATGATTCTCTCAGATGTGTCTATCGATATAGATCAAGTTGAGTGTTCAGCGAAGTATGCTAGCCATTGGCCTTACGTTCAGGATACTCCTTCCTGTCCTTGCGATGTTTGGTTAAGTGTTATCAATCCCTCTTCTTCCAGCATTCTTCTAAGGTTTGCCTCTAACGATGGTTGAATAGCTCCTGTTGTTTGTCTCCACCTTCCTTCTCCCTGTAAGTTGTCCTCATACTCCCAGTTCTTTCTCTTCTCAATGTAATCGACCCAACGAACGAAGCGAAGCGCAGTGAAGTCATAGAAGTTTGCTTGACTATATTATTCTTGAATAAGCTAGTGATTATCTGAGGCTTACAGTATGGTATACCGAGGGCTAACTCCACTACTTCAGATTGTTGAATCGAATATACCTTCTATATACCTAGCTTAGAGTATTTGAACCTGTTACGTCGATTGCTGAACCTGACTTGACTTTGACGCGTTGGCTTTGGCTTTTCCTATATCTGAATGTTTCGGAAGAGTCCGTGGCTATCCTGCGCGAAAGAGGAAGAACTCAACTCTTTGCAAAAAAAGGAGCAATCACTTATGGTTGTTCCTTTCCAGGATGGATGGCTACTGCATATTATCATATAGAAAGAAAATGAAAACCCTACTGAATTAGGCAAGCGATTATTCGCATCGTTGCTTAGGTGCTCTAACAAGCCGCAATTGGTTAGAGATTGGATCAAGTTCCAGGCTTTTTCAAAAGTGCCTTCCAGCTTACTTAATTGACTCGCATGGGCTTTCTCGCTATAAACGAACTAAACGAAGCGCCTAAAGAGAGAGATCCGCGGGACACCAGTCAATAAAGTCAAAAGAGAGTATTCTCTTATGTAGTCTTATTCCTTCCCACCCCCTTGTGGGTGCTGCTCAAGCAGCTCAGGAGGCGCCAACCCCACAACCACAGGTAGAAGGAGTTCCAGGTGCGGCGTCCAGATCAGGTTCGATGTAATTGAGGTCCTGTTCGGATGTAAAGGAAAGATGCAAAACTTTTCTCAAACAGTGGGGAAAGGGCCCCATACGTCAAAGCCAGATAAAGAATCTCCAACAAGATTCGAAATTGGATCGTTCAAGTCCAAAGGTTCGATTACATTGACTTCTGTTATTGAATCCCCTTTCTTTGTTGGCCCAATTCTTCCATTCCAGAGCACAGAGGAAAGTCCATGCGACGAGGCATCGCTGATAACATCGCCTGTTGTCCCGTTGCTTTAGATACTAGCCGAAAAGACCATACAAACGAAGCGAAGCGAAGTGAAGTCCCTGGAGGACTTGTGAGTCTCGACTAAAAGGAGAGGAGAGCGAAGTGAAAGCATAATAGATTCACTCCTATGTCGGCTGGTAATTGCAGTGTAGGTTTAATTCATCCACAAGGCTAAAGGCTCTCTTCGGAATGGCTGGTGCCAACGATTGGACGACAGGTACGATGAACTTTCTGGCAGGGTATAACAAAATACTAAGCACCATACCACGACACTTTAATATATACGATATTTACAGGGTAGGATAATCAAAAATATATCCTACCGGGAATGAATTTCTCTCAATTGATCAAAGAACTGATATGTTTCCGCTGTTTAACAAACTCACTTCTAAAACCCCTGAGGTAAGTCAATTATATCGAGCCTGTGCAAGAGCATGGTAGTACCAGTACGAGTGGTAGTGTGAGTAGTTGCAGTAACCCAACTATTTCGAATATGGCTCCTGGAAGTGTTCGTATGGCTAATCCGCGGAGGCCCCCGGTATGGGATACAAAGTAGAGCTCGAGTGGAAGAACAGCGACAGAGGAATCGCAGCAGGAGGAGGGGAAAGAGATGTGGGAGCTGCTACTAGACCAAGAGCAGAAGGAGAAGCTGAAGTATATGATGCGACGGGCGCCACTCGGCAGCTGTATATTCATTTTTTCCTTTTTCGGCTTATTCGGCAAATCGAAGGCCCCTTCCCTATAAAGCTAGCTTGGGAGGGGCGGAGTTGTTCCAGACTTCCTTGAATTATGGTATTTCCGAACAAGTTCCTGGATGACAAGCCCAAGGGTTATCTTATTGATGATATCGACGATGGTCTTGATATTCAAAGATTTTTTGTGAAATAGGCACCTGGTGGGTGATAGGTGGATATTAGAATGATGGGGAAATGCCATACTTGACTAGAACCGAAGGAAGATCTCTCACACCTATAAGTAAGTGGGCAATGGAAACTAGATGTCAACGAGCGGCACATAATTGAAATTGGACAACCTCACCCCCCCAGTGAATGTAGTCGGATGGACAGATCGACTGTTAAGGTAGGACCTTCAACAAAGAGGGTTGATCAACAAGTTCAGACTATTTTCTGTCAATTCGGCTGTCCGTATCATTTCGATTAGAAAAGACCAATGTCTTGGTCTTGTGATATAAGGGCTTCACTTCAAAGAAAGAGGCATAGGAACAACGTCCCGAAACTGAAGATGAGACTGAACCATACGAGATTAGAGAATAGAAAGAAGGGTTCCCAAGAAAGGGTTCAATGAACGCTGCAGTTCACGATGCATAGCTTCCAACTAGCTCGGAAAGGCAAGAACCCTACTTTATAGGGGTTGCTATTGAATCGTCTGTGAACGAATCTGCTGCACATGAATGCACAGACTAAACTGTTGGAGGAAGAGAAGCAAACAAAGAAAAGCTGCCTTTTCAAGCCTGGGTAGCCTTTTTTACTACACTTTCTTCAGTGAGATTCCTTTCTATCTGGACTCTTTCTATAGGATGTGACATGAAGTTGACAACTCCGCCCTTACAGATGCAATTGAATCAGCTCTGAGGCGGATTGCACTGATTAGGCAGAAAGATGCCATTGACCTATGTTATATGAGACTGTGGAGCACGAAGGACAGCCTTTCTTTCCCCAGGCTGTCTTAATCTGAATGGCAGCGATTGCCATTTGATATAGGCTATTTGCCTTGCTATTCCTCCTCGTCTATTAAACTTTATGACTTCACTTCGCTTCGCTTCGTTCGTTGGGTGGGGAAGCAAAAGATGCAAGAGAGCCTTTTTCCGGAATTGGATTTCACTCATTTAGTGCTTGGGATGCAGACAGGCGTGGAAGATGAACATAAGAGAGCTCCGCCCTTGCCTTGCACCGGTGAACAAAAGAAAGAAAGGAGACAAGGTCGGAACTAAGACGTCAATAGCTTATAAGAAGGATAGTATTCCTGTCGGGAACAGCGAGCAAGGATAAAATGAGAGTATGAGCCTACACCCATATAGAAATCAGTCATATGCCTGATAGTCATTATCTATTCTTTCTCAATGATAGTCTTATTACCCGAAAACAATATGTACAGAGGAAGCTAGTTTTGTACTCTAGTTCTGTCCCCAAGGCGCGAGTGAAGCCCTTCTCCAGTATGGTAAAGTGAAACCGCTTCGGAGTTTATGGTTCGAAAGAAAGAGAGAGGAAAGCACTTATAAAGCGGTGGGCTCTTATAGTAAACAAGAGTTCCGTTAAGCTCTGGGACTGACGGCAAGATAGCTGTAGTTTTTAAAACGTAAATTGACCGAAGTTTGTCTTTACTTTCCCCTATTCTACGTATACCATCTCCGAGCCTCTCGTTAAATCGAATCAATTTCTCAAGTTGGTCCTTGCTAGGCCAGTTATCAGTTCCTGGGGATGTGATTGACCTAAGAAGCCCGTGTTATCGATAGATGTAAGTTCATAGTTGAAGACAAGGGAGTTTTAGCTTTTTCGTAGATAGTCTGAGTTCGAGCTACTGTAGTCTCCCCCGTTGACCTTCTTTTTTAGATAGAATCCNCAGACTTGCTCCGCAGTACGAGCCCCATACAGAGCCGCGCCCTTGTGATATGATAAGAAGAAAAGGGGCCAGGCCACCCTCTTTTCTTTTCCGCACCAACCCAACGAACTTTTCGAAGCGAAGTGAAGGAAAGGATAAAACTACCACTCTTTCAATTGGCGTAAAACCATCTTCTTCTATGATTTCACTTCGCACTACTTATGACTTCACTTCGCTTTGCTTCGTTTGTTGGGTTGATCTTTCTAATCAATCAGAAAATGAACCGGTGGATTGATTGACTTCTGGCTACGAGACCTCTTCACCGGAACCTTTCGTTACGGGTTCATAAAGGAAAGGACCTTGCCCCCTTCGACTTTTTCTCTCATCGATTGACTGACTCAAAGGCAAAACCGACATTCAAGGATTGAAGATGTATCCGAACTTCTATGACTGAAAAAAGCTTCGAAAAGTTTGTTCACTTCGCTTCGCTTCGTTTTTAGAGTCAATGTAATCGATCCTCTCCTTTCCGAGTGTACTTTTTCGGTAGGTAATCTTTTCTTTTTGGGTACTTTTTCAGTCCTGAAAAGTATAGTCTATTTTTCCGACTTACTTATATGACTGGTAAGCAAATAGGGAAGACTGCAGCTACGGGACTTGGGTCGATGTAATTGAGACGAGTAGCTTGTCTAATTGTTTTTCCCATGCTTTCTGTTGGTCAACAACCAACCTCTCATTTCGTTTTTCACTACTCGTACAGGAAGGACTCTCTTTCTGGAGGGAAGAATTTGATCTCAATCAATCATGCCTCAACTAGATAAATTCACTTATTTCACACAATTCTTCTGGTCATGCCTTTTCCTCTTTACTTTCTATATTGCCATATGCAATGATGGAGATGGAGTACTTGGGATCAGCAGAATTCTCAAACTACGGAACCAACTGGTTTCACACCGGGAGACCAATATCCGGAGCAACGACCCCAAGAGTTTGGAAGATATCTTGAGAAAAGGTTTTAGCACCGGTGTATCCTATATGTACTCCAGTTTATTCGAAGTATCCCAATGGTGTAAGGCCGTCGACTTCTTGGGAAAAAGGAAGAATCTCACTTTTCTCTCTTGTTTCGGAGAACTAAGTGGCTCACGAGGAATGGAAAGAAATATATTCTATTTGATTTCGAAGTCCTCATATAGCACTTCTTCCAATCCTGGATGGGGGATCACTTGTAGGAATGACATAATGCTAATGCATGTTCTACACGGCCAAGGAAGCATCGGTTTTTAATCTCATTATGACTTGGTCGTTCGGAAGAGCTTCTCGATCAGAATAGTGGAATGGAGGGCACTACAAGAAAAAGATAGAATCGCCCCAACAAACTTTTCGAAGCGCAGTTCAGTCATAGAGGAAAGTTGAATAAATGAATGCAGCCTCAACCAGAGAACCTGCGCCTTTGATTTTAGGCCGCTGGCGGCGCAGAACGAACTAATCCGTGACCAGCAAGTTTTCCGAAAGCGAATTACGGAATTCTTACTTTCCAAAAATCTTGCCAAAGAAAGAAGGTCCATTTTCCCACGTAGTTCGTCGGTCAAACCAACGATTCTCTTCTCAAAGTAATAAAGAGATCTTTTTCTAGTTCTTCTTCTATCAATGCAATGAAAGAACCATCCCTTCCTATTTGTTTGTCCTGTCAGATAGAAAGAAAATGTGACCCCAAAGAGCCCTTCTTTACTACTTTAGGGGGTGGGGGTGAAGGAGGGGTTTACATACAACCGAGGCAAAGTGGTTTATGATTGAATCTCAGAGGCATTCTTATCATTTGGTAGATCCAAGTCCATGGCCTATTTCGGGTTCACTCGGAGCTTTGGCAACAACCGTAGGAGGTGTGATGTACATGCACTCATTTCAAGGGGGTGCAACACTTCTCAGTTTGGGCCTCATATTTATCCTATATACCATGTTCGTATGGTGGCGCGATGTTCTACGTGAATCCACGTTGGAAGGACATCATACCAAAGTCGTACAATTAGGACCTCGATATGGTTTTATTCTTTTTATCGTATCGGAGGTTATGTTCTTTTTTGCTTTTTTTCGGGCTTCTTCTCATTCTTCTTTGGCACCTACGGTAGAGATCGGAGGTATTTGGCCCCCAAAAGGGATTGGGGTTTTAGATCCTTGGGAAATCCCTTTTCTTAATACCCTTATTCCCCCTTCATCCGGAGCTGCCGTAACTTGGGCTCATCATGCTATACTCGCGGGGAAGGAAAAAAGAGCAGTTTATGCTTTAGTAGCTACCGTTTTACTGGCTCTAGTATTCACTGGCTTTCAAGGAATGGAATATTATCAAGCACCCTCCACTATTTCGGATAGTATTTATGGTTCTACCTTTTTCTTAGCAACTGGCTTTCATGGTTTTCATGTGATTATAGGTACTCTTTTCTTGATCATATGTGGTATTCGACAATATCTTGGTCATCTGACCAAGGAGCATCACGTTGGCTTTGAAGCAGCTGCATGGTACTGGCATTTTGTAGACGTGGTTTGGTTATTCCCATTTGTCTCTATCTATTGGTGGGGAGGTATATGAAGGAACGAATCAGTGGATTGAGGGTCGACAAAGTTGACTCGACCATACATTTCGAAGCGCAGTTCAGTCCCTGGAGGGCTTGTGAGACTCAAAGAACGAAGCGAAGCGAAGTGAAGGAAAGGTGTAATTGACGAAGACAAAGAGAACCGGGCTTTTCCAAAGTGCAGCTTTCCCACTCCCTTTTCTTTTCATATACAATTCTCTTCTCCTTCGTACCGCTACGCGACTCACCCAATTATGCCCTCTCTATTCTGGCACATAAATGAAGGGATCGAAGAAATTATGGCGGATCATGTTCACCAAGAAATGACTCTAAATTTGATCTTGGTCTATTTGAGATTCTTTCTTTTAATCGTAATCTCAATTACCTCTTTTGTCTATGACTGAACTTCTAAAGATTACATTGACCCCGGTGACTTCACTTCGCTTCGCTTTGTTTGTATTGTCGACCAAACCTCTCCTCTCCTTTTAGTCGAGATCTTTGAACCTCGGATTTATAGTCGAGCATCTTCAAACCTTTCTTTTCTGAACAAATCGAAGAACCTAATGGATCGAACTCATCCTCAATGTAACCTTTCCTCTCCGGGACTGAAAAAAGCTTCGAAAAGTTTGTACCTTTTAGTCGAGACTCACTTCGTTCTCCTCCTAGGACTGAAGTTTCAAGAATCTGACCTTAGCAACCCGAAACGTGAGCGGGGAAGCTGACTACACCTTACCCTTGACTTGAGTTTGATTTCCGCAGTGCCCAACCAAATAGCTGCCGACTGCAAGCACATACCTATGGATCTATGTCACCAAAAGCAACCACCCCAGCAAGTCTACCAACCAGCACAGATCCTCCCAAGCAACTTCCAACTGCGCCACCTAGACCAAAAACATGTATCGAAACCTGGCCTCCTATCTCCTCGTTCGCCGCCCCGGAATCCCCACCAACTCCATCTTCACTTCTTGACTTCTTGTTCTGATTATGAGGGAAACGGTTTTCAATCCATAACTAGGGATCCGCACTCCTACGTGGACATAACGAAAGGGAGTACTTGGAGACAGAGAAAGTGATTGTGCTACGTAATACTAGAATTTCAGGTTCTCCCGTAGCTCTCCCGTGTTCTCTAGGTTCGGTAACCCGGGTAGCTAAAGGCTGCCTTGCTTCCCGTTGTGGTGTAAATCTCAATTACACCTTCACTCGACTTCTATGACTTCACTGCGCTTCGCTTCGTTCGTTTCTCTCCTCTTTATTTATTTTTCTTTCTAGTTCCGCTTTGAGTCATATGTAGGCTTTACGTGATATGCCTTGACTACACTACATGAGACTTAAGCAGGTTCTTCTCTTTTGCTTTCTCAGCAAGGGTCAGACCACCGATACATAGCGGGTTATCCTTCCAAAACGAATAAAAAGACGGATGAGACTTTCTTACCGGCTCGAACCCTAGCCCGTACGCTTGCTGGTCTGCTTTCCTTTACTCAGGCCGCTATCGCTAAGCCTTTAGCAACCCACCACCGCACCGATTGGCCCGTACACCAAGACATTGATTTGCAAGGCCTAAAGATGCCATATCATACCGCACCAGAGGATATTATCTATATATATACGAGCTTGCTTACTAACCGAGCCGATACTGATAAGTCAAAGACCGCATCGCGGGCTCTCTTCACTTTCGCAAACTGAATATGCTCGTGTCGCGCCTCCCCTGTCTACCTCTCCTCATTATCTTCCTTAACAAGAAGCATTTTTGCTGTGCACTCTATCGCGTAGTGACCCATCTGCCCGCACCTAAGACACGCACCCCAGCTTCCACTGAAGGTTCTTGGAAGAGCTCCCTGATGCCTTCCCCAACAATGAAATTTTGACGTAGAAGTGAACAAAAGTATATCCCTAGGGATTAGGATGTACACTTTGTCCAGACAGGCTCAGCCTCTTCCTCCTCCTATACGTAAACGTCTTATCATGCACCTTTTCATTAAGAAAATGTTGGAGGGTTATGTTGATGCAGTAGCAAAGACTTCCTTATCCCATCATATTTAGAAATTTATACCCTTCATGCTCTGACTAAGATTATCGGCATCATAGTTTTTCATACCAAAAGCCTGAAGCTGATCACAAAGGTTCTTCACCTTAATAGAGTAACAAGAATGAAACTACCCCGCTTCAGGCCATCTTCTTCAGTCTCCAGGCACTGACGCTTACTTGCGGTCGCATGTTCATTAACTTCCCTCAAAGTAAGCCATGCCCTTCTTGGGTCTGTAATGCCCCCTACATATATATAGGGGCGCATCTTATCAGCTACAGACACTGTGATCGCATGCATAGCCCCACCAGACCAAAAAAAGATGAAAATGGCTTCTTACTCGCCACAGCCTCCGGTTTACCTTCAGCAATTATCCAACATTCCTGGCCCATCAAGAATCAACCTCATTTTCACTCCCCACTACTAGAAGTCCTACTTTGAGCATCCATCGGAGGAGGAAGATATGGTCATTTGAAGTTGCTGTACTCACAGGCACAGGACATCATCGAGCCAGCGTGCTGCTATGATATAAGGTTCAAGTGCATATTTGAATAGGAAAGTGACCTCCATTTGAAATGGTCACCTGCTTAACTCTTAGGTATTGGATGAGCTCAAGGTTGATCCAGTTGGTGCATTGAAGGAAAGAGAGAGCTTGAATGAAGACATCTTCTTTTCTTAAGATCTTTCTATCACTAAAGGGCTAAGTACAACAAAGTTCGAGGAAGGCATGCCACACGACGTGGGGAATAAGCATCGGCTAACTCTGTGCCAGCAGCCGCGGTAAGAAAGAGTCACTCAGTGAATCGGTGGATCACACACTTGTTGGAGACAGGGACACGCCTTACTATTTGAATTAGAAAGTAACCAAGTGTTGAAAGGTTGAAGTCTGGGGACAAGGGTAAACGTGAGGAATGGGATCTCCAAAGCTACCCGCCCTACTAAAAAAGTGCGCAACCAAGCCGAAGACCTACCTTTCCAACTAAGTCCAAGGCGAGGACCCTTTCATTGACGATGCGTTCCGTCGTCAGCTCTCTTAGGCCGACAAGGT